ACCACAACCACCACAACCACCACAACCACCACCACCACTACTACTAGTATCATGGACTCAATATTAAATCTAAGTTTACCATCTGGTTGTGTTTATCTACTACTGGTCCCAGAATTACATTGTTTAGAATAAAAATAGATTGGCATTTTATTTGTGGGATGCTAGTTCTCCTACTAGCATCTACTGTAGTACATTCTTTGCAAAGATAGAGAATGGTAGCACTGCTGTTACTAACCCTAGTCTTCTTGCCCTTCATCTTCTTGGTGGGAATACTACTAAGATCTTTCAATCTTCTGACCCATTGCAAATCCATGTTGGTTCCCATTACACCACTTGGGCCTCAGATCATTTGCAATGTCACCAGTTCATGATTGGTATGATCATGATGCTAGTAGCAGGTGCTGCTTCATCTTACTGCTAGTACTAGTACTACTACCAAACATGCCTCCAAGAACCAACAATTGCTCACCACAGATCCTCTACAGCAACTAGGGAGGCTGTGTTTGTCAACAAAGCAGCTTTGTACCTTTGCTAGATCCTCTACTAGTAGGAGAAGCTCTTGATCCACCAAATATAACAACAACCTAGAGCAACAAGCAAAGAAAATCCTTGCTGATAACCATGGTGCTGCTATCTACTACTAGAATGGCAGATGCCCTTGAATGCCCACAACAATAAAGGACTTCTTGCCATGTTGAAATGAAGCATTTTGTTATTCTCAAGTAGACAGCTGATGATGAATACATTCAATTTCTTTAGTACTACTATTAGTACTACTAGAGAAAACCTCACTCTTTATTCTTGTTGTAAACCATCTGCTACTACCAATGTAAACTTCAAAGACCAAAGTCATCAAACTTCTTCTCACATGTCTTACTACTGCTAGGGTGCATATGGATATGGCCCATTGCCTGCATAGTACTATTATCCCTGCTGACACCATCACCACCAAGAATCACAAGCACCATGACCAGCAGTTCTTGTTCTTCTCTTCAGCACCACCATCATATACTGCTAGTGATGCTAGTCTAGAAACAGTGTAATACACACCCTTAAAAAAAGTACCAATAGGTAATAAGGATAGCAATTCCTGATTAACTAGTAGTGAAGAATAGTAAACTCACTCTTTACTGTTTAATACTTATAACATTCACATCAAATACATTTTAAAGACAGAAGTAATCTGGTCCTAGTAGTACTGCCTGTACGTAGTGTGGTTCTTTGCTATCTATTGTGACTTCTGACTTGTCTTCGGGATATGCCCCATTGCCTGCATATAGCCCTGACAATGAGTTCCTACTTCTCTTCACGGACTAATTGTCTAGATACATAACATACACCCTAAAAATGTACATTACCTCTTAGTCAATAAGTCTCCACCTCTTATTCATTAGAAGTACTTGCATAAAAAACGATGCCAGAAAAGCACATTAATACAAGTATCAATGGGTTCTTTCCTTCGTGCATGCAATATTTTTTCATGTTGAACTAATCATTATGACAGAATTATTTCCGTCGTGTACACGTAGAGTCGTTTCGATTTGGTTCTTTTCTTGGTTACTCAGAACTTCTAGTTTCCTAGTCGTGCTGAAAGATAAAATTTCGGCCATAGGAATGTTCCTTAATATTCAATTGAAAAGTTCCAGTTGAAAGGCATAATTGAAAGTTCGAAAAGGGCTTGATGATCTTATAAGTACGCTTGCTCGTCTCGAAACCTTTTAAGACTTCATTCGACTAATTACAAGACTACCGGTAGGTAATAGCCGTTTAAAAAATAATATTCATGAGCAACGGTTATTTTTCAAGGCATTACAGTATCACGTTTTCTCACGTGTACAAAAGAACGGAACTCTACCGTACATACTTGCTCTTGTTCGATCCAGAAAGGATATCAATTCCCGCTCACTAGCAGACTACGGGACAACAATCGACGGTAAAAGCATTTTCAGTCGGATACAAATTATCTTGGTCATTCGACTTGACAAAAAAAGGTTTGAATGGTACATGACGCAAAACATCCGACTCAATCACCTACGTACCTGAACCAGAGTAATCATATCGCATCACTTCGAGAATCATTGACTGCCAGATCGAAACGGCGACGTCGACAGCATATTGGAATCGATCTAACGCAAAAGAAAGGTACTTCGTAGCTAATTACCAACGCCGACCTTCCAGGAACAAAAAAGACCTAGCAACAAACGGAAGAGCAAGAAGGCACACCAATTTAAGGGGATTTGAATTGGCAACCGGGAATACAGAACTCGGTCATTCGCCAACTTATACAACAGTAACCGACAACTGGATTGCAATGAACACAGCCACGATGCAGGGTCGTCGAAGAACACGGAGCAGCAGCAGAAGTAACACAATAGATGGTTCAATGATTCCTCGAATGAAGCCAACGACGGCGAAGGATAGAATAAAATTTTGGTGGTTCGTCACAATAGTGTTGTCATGCTGGAAACTCCAGAAAACGAACGCCGCTTCCTTGTTGGACGGACGGTTCGTGACCACCACGGACGTTACGAATTATCTCAATCTAGCGCTAGACATCGCGAAAATGAACGAGGCGCAAGACTTTCAATCGAAATTGGAAATATATAAATTTGTGAGTGCGACTCGAGATCGAATGTCGATGTCGTCATCGACGTCGATAGCAAATTTGTTTTTCTCCTGTTTGTAGTTGTGGCTAAACTCGGTTCTGCTTTTTGTCTTTCATTTCGTACAGGGCGCACCTCGCGACTCTTCCACCTCAGTAACACTGCAAAGCATATCCCTCACCGCCGAGGCTAAAATGCAGGACAATCCATTCTATCACATGTTTCGATACACCTTTTGGGATCTGGGGTTCAATAGGGAAGGAGAAGACGACGGGATGTTTGACGGCGCCCCCGTAGAAGTTTATGCGGATACCGTCGTGCAGGATCTCTTTGAGCTGGACGTGCCAGAAATCGAGTCCGACGCCACGTTGGTCTTAAATGTTTGGATGGCGGCGGTAAATGGTGTGTTCCAGGCCCTGGCACACTGCAAGGCGAAAGATACCGATGCCGGACTTGCTGCCCTGGATACGTCAGCGGCATTGTGGATTGGAGTCGGACAGGAGGACGGATCGAACGAAAAGGGGCACCTACTCTACAACATGGCAGAAAATGCTGGGGAGCGGTTTGATCAGGACAACGGGGAAACCCATGTGAATACACTGGTGATCGACGGCTTGTTGAAAATGCAAACAGCGCTGCAGGAAGGTGCCTGTAACACGACACCTAGCTCCGAAGTGTACAAAAAATTACGGACAACGGTTCAACGGCTCACTGGAACCATGACGATCCCTCTAGTTCAGAACCTTATCCACCACACGCTCAACACCGTAAACGAGGGGGGATCGGATATGGTGGAATTGTATGCCCTAGGACTTCTCCCACGCGTTGCCACATGTGATCCACACGCATTTGAAACACTCCTGGCCCTTGATGTTCTGAATGATCTGAAACCAGGCGATGAGGATCTAGCCGTCGAAGCCATTCAAAAGGCATATTCATGTCTTGGAGTGACCTGTGAAGACGTGGGTAGTTACATGGGTGGTGTAGTTCCTACTTGTCGCGACGACAGTAGAGAAACCACGGTAACACGTGGCGGATACAAAGCGATATCGGAAGGCTCTCTTAGTAAGGCGAACATCGATCGAGATATTCTCCAAATCGATGTCTTTTTGAAATACAACGCAAATGATTTGGCCTTTGACTGGTATTCGCACGGCTGGAATTCCGATGTCAGCCTCCAGCTTTTGGCTACAAACAAGTTCGTTCCGGAGCTCGCAGATTCTCAATACCCTTACTTTTCTCTTTATTCGGATTACTATGGAGATGGATCTTTTCTAGACGAAAGGATCAACAATATTTTGAAAAGGGGCGACGTTTTCTATCCAGACTCGATAGAGCAAATACGAAAAGGCGTCACCAGTCTCCTGGAATATGTCGTTATGTTTCTGGCCATAGCGGATTCAATGAAATATGCCGTTGTTGAGTGCTCAAACGGCAACCAAGAAGTTGCCAGAAAATACGTGGATGCAGGAGCCATGTTTTACATCGGTTCCATGGAGGGTGTCGATATCAATTCAAGTCGGTTCCAAAACGGCAAGTCCCTTTTTGCCATGGCCCACGATATGTGCACCATCTTTGGCACTTGTGTCGATAACGGAAACGATGCAGGATCGGCGGCAGTCAACGAGCTGATTATTGCTTCGTTCACCATTGCTGTCGATAACATCGAGTCCCTGGATTGTGCAGAAGTTGCATCGTTGGTCGATACCACTATTTTGCCAGCAATTTCCGTGCCGCTGATTCAGGGGGTTCTGAAGTACGCTTCTTCCAACGAAAACCTCCCCGTGGGAACAGACGATGCCGATCTAGCTGTTGGAGATGCACTTTCCCGTGGTATTCTGCCTCTGGTAAACGATGTATCGCCCAAAAGTGCGGACACCATCAAGTCTCAAATGGAGTACCAACTCACTACCCAACCCGTAGAAAAGGGCTTCGAATCTGTTGTGAACGCATTTCGGGGAGAGACACTATCGCTCATGGGAATCGATTGTTTCGATATCGGAGTCCTCGCCACCAAGCCAATTGTCGGAGCCATGTGTGGAGATGGTGTGAACAGGCCTCCGGACACGCCTAATGCAATCCCCACCGAGCTTGGTTTTGGGAGATACAACTTTTCGGACCCAGTTGCTGCCTCTAGGGATGCTGCCTTTGCCTTGGATGTTCGAGATATGTTTCACGCCACCACAATCACTGCTGGGTCGCTGGTTTACACAGGAGGAGCCAATGCACTAGCAGCAAATGTATTCGGCAATGCCGTTGATGGGACGCCCTCTCTGGCTTCGTTGAGCACCCTTGCTTCTCTCCCCATGAGTGACGACCCACTGTTCAGCATTTACAAATATGCTCTCTACAAAGACTCGGATTTCGAGGCGTTGTCCGGCGAAAACTTTGCCTATGCCAACGATGTTGTAATGGAGGCTCTGAAGAATGGAGAAGATTCGAAGCTTGCGGCGGAATCGACAGTGATTCTCCAGGTATTCATGGTCATTGCTCACAAGCTCTATTCTGCTGTACGCGTATGCGACGAGGGGGTTTCTGCAGAATCAGAGATTGATTCAGCTGTTGCACTCTGGATTGGCAACAACCAACGAGAGGGCAGATTCGAAGATGGGTGGATGATGTACTCTATCGGGCAGTCAGTTCATAAATTTTTTGGATACCCTGAGGGGGAGGCTCCTGTGAATTCGAAGGTTATGGATCTTTTCCTACACGCTCAAACGGCTGCAAAAGGCTGTCCGAATAGCTCTGATTCTGGGAAGATGGGACGCCCTTCTCACCAGTCAACAAAACTTAGATATCTGTCCCAGCAGATCATACGCATGATGACCCAACCGTTGATAAAGTCATTACTCTTTCACATGATTAAGAATAGCAAAAATATGGTGGAACTCTACGCAGTTGCAGCACTTCCGCAATGCGCTGCCTGTGACCCCGAAGCATATAGAGGCCTCCAAGGAGCGCTTTTCAGTGGGTACGACCGGCAAACCTCTCTTACGGAGGACGTATTGGATCACATTGCCACATTCCTCAGGTGCCAAGAAATCACGTGTGATCATATTCGAACAGGAAGTGACGCCGATGAATTTTTGGTAGACCTCGCGAAACAACTGTGCAAACGATTGGGAGAAGATTCAGATTCCGACGAACCGCTTGCTAGCTACACCCCCCAATATTCGGTGAAAGAAGAAGCTCGTTTGGATTTAGATGCACTCGAGATGTCTATCATGATGCAGACTCGAGCCTACGGTGCTGCGAAAGACATTTACGTGTCTGGTCACAATTCAAATTCTCACGACGGCTCAACGCTGGCATCATTCGCGAAAGCGCCGAATCAGAAAATCTCGGTTGACAATATTGTTACCCAAACCATTAACAAGACAGACCAATACTCTGCAGTAACAAGGACAGAGTCGACGGAAATCATTAAGCGCTCATTGCAGAGTATGGTGTCTCTCAACGCTGTTTTGGCTCAGATGAAATCGTCATTGGATGAATGTAATAATGGATCTGTTGAAAAAGCAAGGGAAGAATGGGATAGAGCGGTCGCATATTTTGTTGGGTCGATGGAAGGACATCTGGCAGGCGGCAAAACAGATAGCCACGGGGTTTGGTTGTATGCTCTTGGCAATGAATTTTGTAATGACTTTAGTACCTGCGAAACATCTGGCGAGGCTACAGTCAATCAACAACTTATGTTCAACTTTGCGAGTGGCAGGGATTCCTTGGTCGATGGTGAATGCAATCATTTGAACAACTTAGTTCCAGATGCTATCACTCCAAAATTGTTGGTTCCTATCATTCAGGGTGTGATTGGCTCTTCAATTAAGATTGGAGATAATCCAGATCCTGACGTGTTGGCAACGGTTCATATTTTGTCGCAAGCGATCATTCCATACATTCAACCAATTAATCCAGAAAGTGCAGCACTTTTGAAGGATGCATTTGGCTCATTTTCGAGCATATCGACGGCACCAGTAGTATCAAACATTGTAGAGGCCTTCACCAATGTTTTAGATGGCCTCGGCATTCCATGTGATACGATTGGGAATCCCATGGGCTACACTTTATGTGTCACAAGTTTCAACGAAGATACCCCCACAAATCTTGCTGACAACCTGTACGTTACTACAACGTACGTTCAAGACAGAGCAGACATAGCACTTGATATAAAAGACATGGCCGAAGCACTATCTGAAGGAACTATCGAGCTCGCTCAGCTTATTTACAGGAAGGGGAAAAATTCAGAAAAATTTGATGAGGACGGGAAATTCCTTCACACTAGGACGATAAAAGAATTTTCTACGACATCTACAGCCGATATGCTAGATGAGCCAGAGTTCAATATGTTCATGTACACGTTGAATAATCAGCTCTATGCAGACTCTCTGGTAGAGGAAGCTATGGCTAATTCGAAAGTTGGAAATTCTGAAGTTGCAACGGAAGCCGCTATAGTCCTAAATCTATGGATGGAAATTGTTCATCTGATGCACGAGACACTTCGAGCATGTAAGAATAAGCAATTACGAGACGATGACGGTGTTTTCCTCATGGATGCCGCTGTCGCATATTGGATTGGGGATGGTCAGATTGCTGGCGATGGTGACAATGGGCATCTTTTATATGCATTATCAGAGAGATACGGTGAAACTTTCAACATTGATAATGGTGGCCAATCTAGGACTAATACTAACATTTTGAGACTTTTCAACGAAGCAAAGAATGAAATTTCTCTACCAAATGCATGTTCAGAGAACAAAACGACCTACAAAAGGCTTCGAGGAATCACTAATCGACTAATTCCCCAGATGGCTGTTCCATTGATTCAAGGATTGATTGCCAGTTTAAGGGAAAATGATCGAGAGCGGGTCAAAATTTACTCTCATGCTTTCATTCCATTGCTAGCTGGGTGCCGTTTGAATATTTACGAATCTTTGAAAGATAAGTTACTCTCGAATAAAGATTACAACGTTGTGGACGTCGAGCTCATTATAGATCTGATCAGGCAATCTTTTGATTGTCTTGGACTGAAATGTGATGATATTGGTGTACACACTCTAGAAGAAGACGATGGTGCCCCAAAATGCAAAGATCCTGACTTTGATGCTAGTCTTGCCGGTTATAGACCGGCGAGTGATGTGCGCGACGTAAGTACTCCTTTGCAGTGTATTGACCATTTATCAGACTTTTTCCTGAATGGATGACCTCATCATGCTTGTTTTTTCTTGCCCCCATCACAGTACGCGCGGTTGGACCTTGACATGCGTGAAATGGATGTTCTCCTTCAAATGGAAGCGTATGGCGCTGTTGATGAACTTTACACATATGGCAAGCACGCAAGAGGCGCGACTGGTGTAGTTACTAGTATTGGGCAATTGGCTACAACGAAACATAGATCGATAGTGCCTGAGTTTGATGCCTTTACTCAGTACTACTCGAAAGATACTTTCGCAGATGATATAGTTCGCGCGGCTCTCGATCCTCTGCAAGATCATTGGACGGACGGACAGCGTCGGACCGTTGTTCTGAAGGCATCTCAGGTATTGGTGATGTATTTTGCTGCCTTGCAAAATGCATACGAAGCTGTCACAGATTGCGATGTTCAAAGCATTGACTCTTCTGGACCAAGTAATTCATGGGATCGGGCTGCAGCTATTGTGATAGGAAGTCTTGAGGGTACAAAGAAGAATGGTACCACCGAAGGCTACATGCTTTATAACTTGGCGCAAGAACACTGTATAGAATTCGGTACCTGTCTTGACGAGACCACAAACAATTTTATAAACGAGGAGATCGTATCTCTGCTTTATACAGGTCGCGGGGCTGCTCTGAGCAAATCGTGTCGGGCTATTAAGAAAGCGGCCGATGAATTATCAAGTCTACTCCTGATACCAATCATTCAAGGAGCTTTAAGTTCTTCAATAGTGCTCGCTGATGGCGAAAATTTACAGATAAGAGCTGATGCGTATGTTTACTCACGGGCTCTCATTCCCCTTCTCGGAAGGCGCAATGCAGCAAATGATTTGAATTTCTATCTTGGTAGAACGGCTTCAACAGACAAAAGACATACTGCATCAAAAGTGTATGCTGCCCTTGCTACCGGGTACCCAAAGATGAACATCGATTGCGAAGATATAGGGAACACTAATGGGCTTGACACGTGCTCGGGGGTAGTTTACGTGTCAGACTATCTATGGATTATCATTGTGACTTTGAATCTTCTCATGTTCATGTTTTGCTGCGGTGGTCTATACTTATTTCTCCGCCGCCGGCAAAGAAATAATGCCAAGATCCCTGACCAGTATCCAAAATTTATCCATTCAAACGGGGAGATGAATCACTCTATGGATTTACTGGAGAAGGCTTTTACTTCGAAAAGATCCGATACTTTTGACATGCGTTCCGATGATACAGACGGAGAAATAGAAGCACTGAACCGTCAATACATCGAATCTAGATCCATGGGAATAGGAACAAACACTGACGCATTCGACGACGAATATGATTCCGACCGTTTCGACGAGGTGGAGGCATTGACTTCAAACCCCTCGGGCGACATCATTTGAGGGATGGCTCTTTCATTTCACAGCAACTAGCAGACTGCTGCCATTTGCTGAACACATGTATAATAATAGTACACTTAGATAATTTCACTCATACTTTATTGCTCTATTGACTTGGTGTACCTGTACATCTCCCATAATAGGATCTTGGTACTGATGGTGATTGGGTGCAGACAGGTCCAATTTGTACTGGGATTTCAATAAAAATACGGTCACCTTTACCTTTCTTCCCTAAGGTCTGGAATATTGAGTCCTGGATTCCAAGTTGACCCAAATACTGAAAAAAAATCCAATAAATACATTATTTTAGTCAAAACTTGTAGTTTCTGAGCTAACTTATTGATGAAAACTTTTAATCCCACAAGTTGATTTCTCAAAGCTTATTAAAGTACAAATTTCAAATTTCAGTAGTAGATTTGAAGAGCTCATCATTTCTTCTTTCTTGTACCAACAATGAGGGAGAACAAAAACTGACTTCTTTTTCCAATGACAATTCTTGCTACTAGCAACAAGGCACTTACAACTAAATTGATATTGTCATGCTGGAAATTAACTACTTTCAAAAACAAAGAAGATAATGAATCAAACAACAAACTCATATCTTTAATTGCTTCTAGCTGAGGAAAGAAAAGCTTGCAAGCTACTAATGATGAGATAAAGTTCCTCAGTTGTCTATCCAGCACCTTTTCTTTACGAAATCATAGCATCAATTAAGAAGCCCACAAACCTGTATGTACTCATATACAGCACATTCTACTCTTACTGTACTGTATGTACGGTACAGTAGGTACTATGCATAAAATAACAATTGGAATGTTAATTTAGCATTCCGTATGTTAAGGATGTACGCTTAATTGGGATTTCTACTACTATACCCGTTGGCAGCATGCTGGCAGGCCCAGCAGCTGTTCAGCAGCTTCCAAGATCACTTCCTTGGGATGGTCTCTTGTAGGATTCAGTACCAGGAGCCTCCTAGAAAATCATGGATCAAGGGGGTAGACTGTAGATTTTGGTCAAAATGGAAGGATTTTGATTCCGTGTTCAACATCCTACTGAGGCCTACTGTGGCCTGCCTAAAAACTTCCCTCCAGCACACTGCTGTGTGTTAATCGAAACTGTTCTTTTCATTCAATCAAAAAGCTTGGTACAAAGCAACTGACCACGGGAATAGCTGTCTGGAGCACTTCCACTCACTATTTCCTCCTGTACTTGTTATCAATTGATAGCTCTCTTCAATTGTCGATTTAACAAGCCTTGAACTGTGGCAAAGGAGCCAGTAGAAGTATTGTTTTAGTGTGTTATAGCAGTGACTCTTTTTTTGACTGCTTCTTCCAATGTTGGCAGCAAACAGCTCCTCCCCCATATATACAATGAATACCTAAGAGAGAGAAGCCAGAGATGACAGCCCTAGGAGGCCATGATGATGGAATACTCTCAGATGATTCTGATTTAGATCAGGGGGGGGAAGTTGTTGTTCCTGTGGCTACTGCTCCACCCTCCTCCTCCAGTCGCACCACCAGCAGCAGCACCACCACCACTTTGAAAAGTAGACTAGCAGTGCAAGAATGCAAGCTGGATCAATGCCAGCTGCTGTAGCTGCTAATACCAGCTGCTGGTGCTAGCACCACTGCCAGTACCAGCAGTTAAATTGATGCTGGATGCTTGGATTGTAGGCCCTATCTGGTTGCAACTCAGGGAAGCCTCCCCCAGCAGTGGATGTAAGGAAGAAGCCCCCTCCAGGTGTGGGGCGCAAGCCACCAACAGTAAAGAAGAAACCAAAATGTATAGCAAGCAGAGTAGCAAAGATAACAGCAGCAAAAGAAGCAAAGAAAGTAGCAAAGGAAGTAGTAGCAAAGAAGGAAGTAGCAAAGAAACAAAAATGTATAGAGCTATTTCAACAGAACAAAGCAAAGCGTTTAAAGAAACTTGAAGAGGAACGTGATGCCCATAAGAAGACAAAGAGTAGTGATGATAGTAGTATGAACAGCTTTGGTAGTAGTGGGGATAGTGGAAGTGGGAGCAGCAATTCCTCTACTACTAGCAAAGTTAGTTGATACCAAACACCATAAAGATGAACTGTCTAAGCGTGTGCACTGAGTATCTAGTAGAACTGTAGGCAACCCCTTTGATAGATCTTCCAGCCTCTCTGTAAATTGCTGCTTCAAGATCACTTGTAGTAGTCCAATTAGACCAGGCCTCTCAGGATACTACTGAGACAAGGTCACATGTCTTGAATTCAACAGGCCTGTATTTGGGCTGGTATGGAGGACAAGGGATAGATAAAAACAGATTTGGTTTAGGATCAGGTCTAATGGCAACCTTCAGACCCACCAGCAAAGTGGATAGATGAGAGCCAAGATCCAACCCCAACCCCAACCCCAACCCAAATGGCGTTGACAATGCGTATGCGTTGTCGATGACGGTGTTAGTGACAATGCGGAAGCGTTGTCGAAGACGA